TCACCTTTGCCATATTTACTAAAACTGAGTCACTGCATACTGGCAGGTGATTACATACAGCACGAATCCTAGACGGTGGGTGTCACCTGGGGCCACATTAGAGGCACTCTAGAGCAGGGGGAGATTTATGGACTATTAAATCAATAGTCCACTGGTCCTTGTACAATTGGCTGTATTTTGTTTAAAGTAGAAGGAAATTAAATTTTTACCTCAATCGTAAACAAAAATCAATTCCATCCTAGATGGTGGGTGTCACCTGGGTGACACATTAGAGGCACTCTAGAGCAGGGTGAGATTGATGGACTATTAAATCAATAGTCCACTGGTCCTTGTACAATTGGCTGTATTTTGTTTAAAGTAGAAGGAAATTAAATTTTTACCTCAATTGTAAACAAAAATCAATTCCAGGTGGATTAAAAATTTAAAAGTGAAAACTAAAACTATAAAAAATTATAAGACATAAATTAAGAGTAATATGTTATTTCTAAATAAGATGCAATAATATCTAATGATAAAAGAAAAGTTTGGTCAGTCATTTACATTTTTAAAAGGCATTGGTTTTACTAAGAAAAGGCTTTGAAGTTAACAGAGGAGCTGTAAACTAGGAAAAGATTCACATCCAGAATCCATAGAAAACTAATATGAATATACTTTATCAGAGTCAAAATACTCAAAAGAAAACTAAACTAACAAACCCCCAATTTTCCAAAGTATAGAGAACCCAAATTGTCATTAGCCATATTAGAAGATGCTTAACTTTATTAGTATTCAGGGATTAAAGTTTTAAAATAAGTTTACATTGGACTGGAAAATATTAAGGAGGATATTGTTATAAAGTGTTGACCAGAGGGGGATATGCTATAAATTCTCATATATATTGAGGGTGTGAATGTGTTTCTTATAATCATTTTATTTTGCTAAGATGTTTGACATTCCACTTCTAAATGCACCTTCTAGAAAATCTCTTGAATCTGTGTCCCAAAGGTATGCCAAAGAATATTCATAATAACAAGTAGAAAGGGGCGGTGCCTGTGGCTCAAACAGGTAGGGCGACGGCCTCATATGCTGAAGGTGGTAGGTTCAAACCCAGCCCAGGACAAAAAAAAAAATAAAACAAGTAGAAATCAGGGTGGCACCTGTGGCTCAAAGGAGTAGGGCACTGGCCCCATATACTGGAGGTGGTGGGTTCAAACCTGGATCCGGCCAAAAACTACCGAAGGAAAAAAAAAAAAAACAAGTAGAAATCAGCTACATATTTGAAAATAGTTTAGCAAATAAAGGGATATATAACACAACATATAAAATTATAGCTGTCGCAAAAGTAATGAACCCCAAAAGCAAGTTTAAGGGAAAAAATGCAATCATATCTGAGTCCAATTAAACAAATTCCAAAACTAGAAGAAATTAAATAATATATTGTTTAGAAATACATACATAGGTGGTAAACCCATGAATAATAGGTGGGTGTTTTAAACAAAATTTCAAGTTGTTAATAACTTTAAGGAGGATAGATCTGATGGAAAGAATTACTAGATTATATTCCATTTTCTTGGTTGAAAGGTGTTTATTGATATTCTTTAAATGTTATAATATTTTTAAAATTTGCAAAATATTTTTCATAATATTTCACGATAAAATACCTTTAAAAAACTGGCTGAACCTGGTTCATTGTACTCTCAATGACTCCCCAACAATAAAAAAAAGGGGGGGGCTAAAATAAAAATTGAATATCATTAAATTTATTTGAAGTACTATAACATAGGTTACACATAAAGTAGATATATATTTATTATTTGTTCCCAAGAAATTTTTTAAAACTCTTTATCTTGAATTAGTTACGTAAAACACATAATTTATTGACACAAAATTGAAAAATCCGGAAAACACAAGTTAGCAACACAATTTTAAAGGTAGTATGTTTTGTTTGTTCATCAAATATGTACTTAACTACAGATTAAAATTTCATTACAGGCTGGGGTGTGCAAATGGACAGAACCAATTTTCATAACCCATTGTCCAGAATTTTAGCTCTACATAGTTAAAAAAATTAATGATGTTAAAAAGTAAAACATTCTGACTTCTATTTGTAAGCACTTTTCAATTTTTTGTAACTAGGTACATGATCTATATCTTCAAAAAAATAAAAGTCATAGATAGAATTGTCTATCTATAATTTAACATCATTTGAAATATAAGAATTTGAGGAGAAAAAGACAATTTCTGAAGTACACGATGAACCAAACTTAGATTATTAATGCCAGTCTATTTATCTTTGTTATTAATTTTAATCTCAGTATTATTTTCCTCATCCTTCTTCTTCTTAATATGAATATAAATCATATATAAATGGTTATTTTGATTTATTAAGATCATTTTTTAAAAAGTTCCAGCCTCTCACAGATTCTCTAAAGCAGCGGTTCTCAACCTGTGGGTTGTGACTCCTTTTTAACAATGAAAATACACTGAGGCATTAGGAAGGTTGAGAATTTCCCAAATATAGGAATAAAGCCTATATTATTTGCTCTAAAAGAAATTGGAAAAAAGACATTTTGCCCAAACCAAGTTCCAATTTTTTTTTTTTTTTTGCAAAAAAAAAGTATTATCCTGTTTTTAGAGTCATTCATTTTCTCGAGTGATTTTAATTATTCTAATTGTACGCAGAAGGATTTATGCAGGGTTAAGAAATTTCAGATACTGTTAATTTCAACACGTTTTTGTAAAAACAGTTTTACGGTAATTTAAATGTTTTAGTTGTAGCTACAGATTTAGCTCAACTTATTGTAAATCATTATGCAAATTAACTGACAGTAATAACTTATATATTTGTCGGATAACAGAAACATTAATCAAAGTATGAGAGCCATAGGAGAAAAGGAGACACATGGGGATAAATTTAATATTATTTTCTAAAATAAACACCCCAAACCATTAAATTGGCTATTTTCCTTTCAGAGTTTAACTTTGGAAGCTCTGAGTTTCATTTTAAGAAGACACATTAAGCTCTTTCCTTCAGTTCCATGATTTTAGGACTTGGTGGATGACATTTTTACTGAATTCTACCTAGAGGTAAACAGTAATGATTCCCCTCTGGAGATGAAATGATCAGAGAAAAGAACCTTAAAAACAAGGCTGTAATAGGGTGTTTAGCAAAGATAGGAATAAAGCCTATATTATTTGCGATTGTGATTACCCCATGCTCTTCTGGATATGCTCTTCTCAAATAGTCCCTTTTTTCTGCTGCTCTTCTGGTCCTTCTTTCTTTCACTTCCCTAGACTGGATCCTGATATATCAGACATGTAACTTTTCCCCTAAAGCCTCTATTGGTTCACTGTCACAATAGAAAGTAAAGGACATGTAAATGACCAAAAAAAGAAAAATAATAGTGATTCAAGGGCAATGGCTATACAAACTCCTACCCAAATCAAAACCATCCGTGACGAATAACAACCTTTCTAGACAACATCAGATTCAGTAGTTGGTGAGATGTATGCACAATATTCTATAACAATTGGCTCCTGTCCTTAGGAATTAATGTGTATTTTACATTCTTCCAGAGGATTAGAAATGGCAGAAAGAGCATCTCTTAATCTAATGAGGATTTTGAAAAATTCTGGGTGGGTTGGCACCATGAAGTTTTGTTGGGTTTGCCTTTATGGGGAAGTGAGAGGCAAGTTAGCCCAACACAGCAAGAAAAAGCTGCATATCTATATATATATCCTGCTTTCTTTATTTTCTATTGATATCTATATCAAATGGATATAGATATCAATTTATCACATCAAAGCAAGGCCATCTCTGATTGTTAGTACCACTCTGATAACCCAGTTAGTGGAGTTATAAGAACTAGGTAGGTCCCCAGCACAGGTGATGATGGGGCTTTGGTCCCTATGGAGACCCATCACTGCCAACAGAGCTTGCCTTTCTGTGATGATAAGGGGACATCATACTTCATGTCTTCTGGCATTATCCTGCCACTCTCTCATCCCTCTGACAGGGCCTGATCCCACCACCAAATTAGCCATAATAGCTCCTATGCATATGTAACCACATCACACCTTATTGTTTTTTATCAGAGACCAGTCAGACTAAAGACAGCAGGAAGCGATTCACTTTCAGTAGGAACCCTCTCACCTGATACAACATCATCTTGTGACACAGTTTGGTAATATTCGTCCATAGAATATTCACACCCCAACCTCATGGTGGTTTATGAATGGAACGCTCATGGAGTGATGGTTCTGGGAGAGGAAAGTTGAGTGACTTCTGAGGTGGTGATGCTGAGATCTGTAATCTCTGAGGTGGAAGAGTTTATGAGAAAGAGTGGTGATCATTTACCTTTATGCCTAAAAAAGTTAGCCATAAGCCATCTAGGGTGCAAGAAACAAGTGTGTTTCTAGGTGTGAACATGGATCCCAGGCAGATGGGTCTGCCTGGAAGAGCGGTTCTCACTGTGTGTAACTGGGGTACAATGAAGTTCTCCATAGGGCATGCTCACTGTGCCCCTCATTATCTAACACTTCACTGCCTATTTCTGATCAATACTTAAACTCCTGTCCTAGAATCCCAATCTTGAGCCATTATAAACATTGCTATAAAAAGAGTGTTTTCAAATTCAGCTAGCCTTTATGACAGGGGTCACCAAATTAGGGCCTGTGGGGCAGATCTTGCTCACCACTTTTTTGCAAATAAAGTTTTATTAGGACATGTCCTCATCCATTTCATTATAGATTTTCTATGGCTATTTCCATGCTATGATAGGAGAGTTGAGTATTTGTGACAGATTATGTGACCCATAACACCTTAAATATTTACTATCTGGACTTCAGAGATCTGATCTCTGGTCCCTGAAATGAGGAAGATATCAAAGGTTTTTAACTGTTAGAATTGTTCCCAGCTGTTTTTACTCCTCAGGGACCCTCACAACTTGCATGGATAGATTTTTTTTTTTTATTAGTCTAATACATAAATGAGACGATTAAAAAGCTTCACCCCAAGGGGATTAGTGACGTTCTTCTGAAACAATCTGGGCCCCAGAGAGCTTCTTCAGGGCACCCTTTACATCTTTGTTTCTCAGAGTGTAGATTGTGGGGTTCAGCATGGGGGTCACCACATTGCCAAAGATCTGCACCGGGGTCACCAGCACTTCACTCAAGGACGGCTGGGTATAGATGAGGGCACAGGGACCAAAGAACAGGGTGACCACCGAGAGGTGGGAAACGCAGGTGGACGCGGCCTTGCGCCTCCCCTCCGCCGAGCGCATCTTCAGGATGGCGATGACGATGCGGACGTAGGAGGCTAGAATGAGCAGGAAGCACGTCATGGGCACCAGGCCGATGTTGGTGAAACTCACTGTCTCAATGACAAGCGTATCGCCACACGCCAATTTGACTACAGGGAAAATGTCACAGAAGAAATAGTCCACCACGTTAGAGCCACAGTAGGGCAGCTGGAAGGTCAAGGTGGTGAGAATCGTGGCGTGGAAGGAGCTGGTGACCCAGGTGCCCGCGGCCAGCAGCGCGCACACGCGGCGGTTCATGACGATGGTGTAGCGCAGCGGGGAGCAGATGGCGGCGAAGCGGTCGTAGGCCATCACCGTGTAGAGCAGGCACTCGGTGCTGCCCAGGAAGTGGTAGAAAAAGACCTGGCACACGCAGCCCCCCAGGGAGATGACTCGGCTTCTCAGCAGCAAGATGGCCAGCACCTTCGGGGTGCTCACGGAGGAGAAGCCGATGTCCAGCACCGAGAGATTGCAGAGGAAGAAATACATGGGGGTGTGCAGGCGGGAGTCGGACAGCACGGCCACCAGGATGAGCAGGTTCCCCAGCAGGGTGCAGAGGTAGAAGGTCAAGAACACGGCGAAGAGCACGGTTTCCTGCCCCTCTGTGTGGGGGATGCCCAGCAGGACGAACTCCGTCACCGCGGTGTGATTCTTTATCTCCATAGAGGTTAGACGTTATCCTGAAAAAGAGGGGGAAATGGCAACAGGGTGATCCCTCAAGGCGCGCAACCTGACTGATTGCCACCCATCGATTCACAAGGAAAAAATTAAACATAGATCCTATTAGTGAAAAGATAATGTTTATCCTGACTGGTAGATGAGCAGATTTTATCTGACTCTCATCAGACAGAGAGGAGCAAATGACAGAGTGGAGATGTGGAGGAATGAGAAAGGCAGGGAGAGTCAAAAAGGGAAACAGAAAGTGTGAAAAAAAAATGGGGGCACGTTAACAGCATTCATATATATATATATATTTTTTTTTCTTTTTCTTTTTTTTTTTTTCTTTTTTTGGTTTTTGGCCAGGCCTGGGTTTGAACCCATTGTGGCGGGCACCTGTAATCCCAGCTACTCGGGAGGCTGAGGCAAGAGAATTGCTTAAGCCCAAGAGCTGGAGGTTGCTGTGAGCTGTGACATCACAGCACACGACCAGGGGTGACAAAGTGAGACTCTGTCTAAAAAAAAAAAAGACACAAGTTCTGATATATATATATATATCATTTTTGGCTGTCCAGTTTCAACATTTTGATGTTCACGCCTCATTCTATCCTATCAAAACATCTTTGTGGATTTTTGCTCCATCATCCCATATAGACGGTACTTTTTCCCACCATCAAGTTCCTCATGAGATCTCTCTCTGTCTTCCTTTAAGACCTGGATTACACAGAAAAATTAGCATTTTTCTTTCACATGAGCTGGCAAAAATACATTGGAAATGGTAATGATATTTTTTCCTTTACTAAAAGAGTTATGAATAGTATACACAGTTTACCTGATCTCAGTAGGTAAGAAAACCATAGAATCTTTATTGATCATTTCCATTTAATTAAATTGGTAATAGTACTTTATGTAGCAATGCAAAAAAGTTTTTCAGCTCTGAGATTAGATCATAAAAGGCTCTGCTTTCCATCTTTGGTGTCCTCATGAGCCATGCTAGTTATTTGAACAACCCCTCAGGGACAAGAAAATTTTAAGGGTATCAGGATGGTAACTGTTCTTTTCAGCAACTACCAAAATTCATGAGAAAAATCACGCCAGGGACATTTAACAGACCAGGAATCCAAATTAAGGTTCCAGTGTCTAATCCTACGGCACAGTGCCTCAGCTGCCGCTGAGAAATTAAAGACAGCCATAGATACATCATATATTGGTACTAGGGTAGACCGTACCTTGGATGATTAAACCTAGAAGAAAGCAAAAATTAAAAAAATGAACTATTTCATTTTGTGCCTCAGATATTATGTATGAGAAAAAATATATGTAGAAGTCACAGGAGAAGACATTTTCCCAAAGTCAGTCGTCCAGAATCAGAATTTAGGTCCAAGTTATGATACAGTAATTCTGAATCAGTTCTGCCTGTCACATTATATTTAACATTTTGTGAAAAGTGACACAAAAACGACAAACACACTCTGTCTGGCGAAAGCTCCCCCAGTAGTATTCCTGTGTTCTTTAGAGGACCCACAACCACCCAACGGTGAAGAACTGCTACTCAATGGACTAAAGAAGAAAAATGATACATTGCATCTGTCACTGAGCAGATTAAAGTGAAGGTGAAAAATAATCTGTGTTCATTTTCTATAAAGAAACCATGGAAGTTTTGGACTAGCCCACTCAGAGCACATAGTGGAAAATAAAAGAATAAGAAGGGTGAAGACGGAGAGAGAGTGATAAGAAAACATAAAAGGGAGGAGAGAGAGAGAGATGGGGAGAGAGAGGAGAGTGCAAAGTAGATAATAAAAGAATAGTCTTACAGCTTTCTTGTATATCATGTTCTGGTCTTCTGGTACCACTTACAGAGGATTTTATAGGTCCCCTAAAAAAGAAAGGAGTCTACCCTGGCTTGGTCTTGACATCTTTAGAATTGTGGTTTGTCTATCTCTCTACTCTTGAGCCAATCGGGAGTTATGTAAATAAACTTCCTAACCAGAACTCAGTGATCCCCTTGGTCCTCTCTGTAGGCTCTAAGGCCTCTCCAAAGGGTGTGTATCCAAGGTTTAAACAGAGCTGGCACAACAAAGGGACCTAATCCCCTAAAGTCTGTCTTGAATCCTGGAGGCTTTGAGGTTGCATCATTTTCTCACTAATTAGTTTGGAGAAACTATCATAATCATTAATTTTTTAAGTGGGTCATAAGCAATTGGTTTATGGACACAAGATGATGAAACTTTTGCTCAAGATCATTCTGGAAGATTTACCAGACAACTTGGAGAGTATTTCACTTATCTCAACTGGATTAATTTTACTGGAAAGTAAAAAGATAGTGTTCTTGAAAAAAAAATTTCATTTGTGACACCTTTTTCAAAATTCTCAATGATCACTCCCCAAATAAGATTGCTATATAAAAGCTAGAGCATAGGACTTTGAATCATAAGATCTGAGTTCAAATTCTGAGCATGTGATCATTGATGTGTGAGTCTGTACAGGTTTCTTAAACTGAGGATTATTTAATTTCTTTATTTATACTGGGTAGCACTGGTAGCTCAGTGGGTAGGGGGCCAGGCACAAACACCATGGCTGATGGGTTTGAACCCAGCCTGGGCCTGCTAAACAACAATGACAACAGCAACCAAAAAATAGCTGGGCATTGTGGCAGGTACCTGTAGTTCCAGCTATGTGGGAGGCTAAGGCAAGAGAATTGCTTAAGCTGAAAAGTCTGAGGTTGCTGTGAGCTGTGACACCACCGCACTCTACCCAGGGCAACAGCTTAAGACTCTGTCTCAAATAATAATAATAATTTCTTTATCTATAGAATTGAGATGATAATACCTCTCACACTTGTTTTATGTGTTTCAAATGAGATACTGTGTGGGTAAACTTTTCTTGAAAGAAATCTGCAAATGTAAAGAATTTACACTATCTTAATTATTATTTTTTTAATTTTTTAATTCTATCATAGGATATCTTAATTATTTTTAATTTAATAAGTACTGATAAAATGTTTGACGTGTCTTTACAAGATCTCAACCACTGTTATTTTTAATAACGAGTTTATTAAGATATAATCCACATACCACAAATAAATCTTTGTAAAGTACAAAATTCAATGATTTTTAGTAAATTTACAGAGTTTTACAATGCCATAGTCTAATTTCAGAAAAGGTCCGTCATTTCAAAGGGATCCTCCATGCCCATTTGTTTCCTGTTCCTACCCATAGGCCTAGGTATTCAGGAATCTATATTTGGTTCTATGAAATTATTTTCCTGAATAATTAATCTACATAGAATAAGATAATATATGGCCTTTTGTATCTGGGTTCCTTAAGTAGTGTAATTTTTTTTAAATTTTTTTATTGAATGGTAACTGTGTACATTAACGCACTTCTGGGGTATAGTGTGGTGTTTTCACACACAATCCGAAACACTTCCATCAAACTGGTTAACATAGCCTTCATGTCATTTTCTTAGTTATTGTGTTAAAACG